ACCTATGTAACCAAAGAGACATACAATTCTATGAAAGACTTTCAAATAAAGAATATTTTACAAGCCATAAGTAGTTTATCTTTTTTAAGTTTATATATTTCTTGCTTAGCAGTTAAAAGTTTAAAAAAAATCTTTTGGATTTTTGTTTTTAGAAATATTTCTTTTTTTATTTAATTATACATTAATAAATAATTTTTTTTAAATATATAAACTACATAATTCATTTAGTATTTAGTAAAATTATTCCTTCATTAGTAGCCATCAAAGCTGAGAATAGAAATTTGAAAAAAAAAACTTAAAATTGTTAATAATGTTAATAATTAAGGAGAGTAGTTGTAAAATGATCAGAAAATTGATCCCTCTCTTTATAACCATAACAATATAAACAACATGTTATTTATATCTTAACTTGTAAGATTTTCTGAATATTGTTTTTCAAAGATAGAAGAATGGAAAAAAAAAAAAAAAAAAAAAAGAGATGAACATTATATTTTTGTTGTTTTGGAAGATATTGGTTATATTTTTTTTCTTAATAATCTTCATCTTCACAGCAGGAAAATAAATATTTTATAAACATTGCAATCAATCCAGTGACAAAAACAGATGCCAAAAGTATGTAGAAACCTGTGATACTCCAGAAAGTATATTTGTATAATAATGGCTGACAATAGCATTCAGAAGTAACATTGTGAAAATTGATTTTCCAGTAAATCTGGTAGACTGTAACACTCCCTGCAAAAAAAAAAAAAAAAAAAAAAAAATCGTTATTATTATACTGAAAATATGACCACAGTTTATGCAACAAATTCTAATTTAGGACATGGGAGTCATAAGTAAATATGCACATATTTAATATTTCTAGCTATTTTTATTTTTTATTCATTTTTTAATTAATTTCACCCCAAGCAAGGCAGTAAAGCCACAAAGACACAAGGAGTTACAGAGTGTGGAAAAATTAGGAACAGAAACATTACTAATGTGTGGAAAGAAAAAAAGAGTAATTAAGAGGACAGTAGATGGTGATTGACATTGCATTTAAATTTTTGGAGATTAAAGCTGGTTGGAAAGCATGGAGCTGAATGAGAGTTCTACAAGTGAGAAGTGCAAGTATTAGCATAGAATTTACAGCTATATTTAGCCAGTTCAGGCTGTAGCTTTGGACATTTTGAAAGCTTTTGATAGGGTTTAGCAATCAGGTCTCCTACACAAGCTGAAAAGTTATGGTGTCTCCAGATGCATTTTTGAATTGATCCTATCTTTCCTATCAAATCGTGGAAATGAAAGTTATCTTGAATGGCCACTCATCTACATCCTTTCTTACTAATGTAGGTGTCCCCCAGGTTACTTCACTTAAAATACATTAAATCCATTATCACATGTTACTTTATGATCTCAGACATACAGCAGTGGTTCTCTTGAGATGGAAAAACTCTGCCAACCAGTGACAAAGTTTAAGATTAAGCTTTTCATAAATATGTCAAAATTAAAATGACAAATTCAAGCCAGAAAGACTGGACACTTTCCAGGAAAGAAAATTATTTATTTTTATTATAACGTTTTTGAAAATTAAGAATGTTTTTCTTTAATATAAACACATAACCAAATCAACCTGGATTTAAAATTGTATTTTTTTTTTTTTAAATCACATAAATTGTTTCGTGTTTAATGCAAAAATTATAAAGACACATCATAAGATTCACTGAGGTTTGACACGTTTATATTAATTCCCACCCACAAAATTAAAAAATTATTTATCAGTAGACAGATTAAGTTTAAGCTTTCAAGTTCTCCACTCAGGATTATCCCATAGGACAATAGCCTAATGGATTAAAGAATTAGTTTGTAAATTTGGTGACATAATAATTGCAGTGCAATAACTTAGTAGTACTATATACATATAAACAGGGTTAAGTAATAACCGAGCAGTAATAAAGAAAAACTAACATTCATTGACATAGCAGAACAAGAACAATCAACCCTGTAGATTAAATAAAGGAATCAGTTCAAATCTTCCCAGGGTTTACTCAAATCGACAAGCATTTGATGAAGGTCGAAGGGCACAATGGCAGGAATGATGTGATAACAACAATGACGAGGATGATAGTGTGTATGTAATAATTAAGATATTTAATCTCAAAATTAACACTGCCACTTAACTGGGTTTGGTTTTGTTTATTTTGTCTTATGGCATATCAACACCTCAATGGGTTATTTAATGCTGACAATATTTTTTATTGCTGGTAATATTTTTCCTTTAAAATTGTATTGCTGGTAATAGTTAACTATTTGCCCATAGCTGGTACCCTAACAGGTGCTACCACCCTGGGTCAGGTGGACCTGGGAACACCAATTAAGAGGTGGATCTATGCTCCTCAAAACCTTCTGATCAGAGGCTTTGCTGCAAGATGTAGTTTATCAACTTACCCAGGACAAGCCACTTAAATGGGATGTAGAACTTTAACATAAATATACTGTTAAGTAAATACAATTTAAGATCTTTTAAAGAAGGCATTAAAAGACTTATAAAAAATGTCCTTTAACTTGTGCTTGACTAGGTTTCATCTTGTATTGAGACAGAATAATAGTTGTTGAACCAACTAATGAAACTAAAACATAAGGACAGAAAGTTCTTAGGATAATCAGAAAAGAATCTTGTTCAATTCTTAAACTTGTTTACACCGTATTATATACTGACTTATTTTGTATAAAATAGATTTATTTATTTACACAGCTCGTCTCTTTAAAACTTTGTTCACCTTTTGATTTTACTTAGTATCAAGTGTATCAATCAGATAAGTGGTTAGCACCAAGAAGTACAGTTTGACTAATTAATGTTAACACTACTAATATACATAAGCAACTCTTGAAAACACTACACACAAATGTAACAGATTTTTTTCTTCAAAGATCAATGTGGGTTTGGTATTGCATTATATATCAAATAACTATTTTAAAACTTATTTTGGTTGGCATCAGCAATATTTCTGCAAGTGATTGCATATAAGCAATGTTCAAAGAACTCCAAATAATTGAATCAATCAGTGGCAAATCAATAAAAATAAAGACGGTATATAATTTGATGTGCTTTTCATTCTCTCGTGTCTAATTAGCCTTTATATATTTTATCAGATCAAGACAGATCAAAGGAAACCAGTGATTTGGTTTCCGTTTTGTTTCTGTTTATGTAATTGGCTACAATATTTACTACTTATAGTAAGTGAAATAACACATGAAGAGGAAAATTTCACTCTTTTTCAATAATTCATTTATTTTACACATTTTATTGCATTACATACGCATCATAAAAAAAACATTAAGTTGTGTATTACAAAAGTGGTGGCGCAAAATGGGAAAGAACAGATTTTTATACTGGCCATTTTGTTTTTAATGTATTGTCTGAAAATTTTTGTAAAGTCAAAATACTAGATTTGATTTGTCCCAATTACTGACTGGACAAACTAAATCAAAGAATTATTCTGTTCTTTGTGCAATAAGATATTAGTAGTAGTAATATTTTTTTTAAAATAAAAATACCTTGTTGTTTAAAATAGCTAAATATAATACCATATAAAAATCAATGTCTGGAGTAAAGCAGACAAGTATTCAAAATATTGCTGAGCTTAGCCAGTAATTAGTGTTTTCATTAAAATGACTGATGAAAAATTAAGTTAAAGAAAATTTATTACCTTTTATTAACAGTTTACATTAAACAGAAACATTAAAAGAGAAAATTGTGGAAAATTGTCTCGTTGGATTGCGAAGCGATATATCACAATCGTGTTTCATTCAATACACATAGCATTTCTTAGAAATGACCATCCAGCTTCTCAAAGACAATAGAGTTCAACCAGTCTCACTTGAACAGCCCTAACTGAACAAAAGAAGCATGTGTGCATCTGTAGCATAACAACTGGTATTCTTAGACCGTTTCAGCATACTGAACATTATCACAGCAAAGTTCAGATACAGTGCAGTGGCATGGGTATTGCTATATCACAGGATAGACAAAAAAACTTGTAATTTAAAAAAAAAAAAAAAAAAAAATCAGAATATATACTAGCCTTTGTATGACCATACTCTTCTCAGGTCAAGAGTAGTATTATCCTTCTGTGTATTGCCATTTGATTTTCTGTCAAAGGGTTTTGACTTATTATTGCTTACCTACTGATTTTGCCCTTACTCTAACACTGAACTACGAGAATCCTTTCAAGAGTTTCAACCTAAATATAATCCCTTTTACAGTGATTCCAAATTGTTTTATAATTTTTATTTTCTCAATAGGAGTAGATAGGTTCACCTATTGTTCAGCTCACACTTCTCCCCAGTCTTTTGAACAGTATTAGGGGTTTATCCCCCATTTCCTGCTTAGGATTGGGTTTCTAGTTCCTTCTAAAGTCTTTTCATTCTTTTTCACTACTAGTAGACCCATGTGTCTTAGTGGCATTATCACCTTACTTGGGGTGAAATAAAAAAAAAAAAACAAATTTTCATTTTAAACCTTTGAGCCCTGACCAATGCTTTACTGGTAGTATAGAAAAATTACGTAATGCCCGGTCACCGGTTGTAACTATTTTTTTATATCTACCATGAAACATTATATACCAATTATTTGTGAATTTTGACTCAGGAGATCAGGCAGAAGGGTTAAAATTGTTCAGGAATGCAGGGCTCAAAATGTTAAGAAAAAATGCAACAGAATAGTGAAAAAAAAAAAAAAAAAAAATTTCCAGTATAAAAGTCTGAGAAAAAAAACTAAATGTTAAGTCACTTACCCGCAATAAACCATGCAAATACAAACAAAGAAAGAAGATCCTTTAAATATCGAAAGAGAGTTCTTGTTACTTCACTGTCAGACACGTAATAATCAAAGTCAGCATTTTGTAGCCGCCGATGAGATTGATATCGAGCATAAATGAGGAGTAGGAATAGTAGACACCCAGTTACAATCAGATAAATTGGGATGAATGGTTGACAAGAACAGTTATTTACATAGTAACTGCCTAGAAATAAAGGGAGAAAAACAACAACAATTATTACAGGACTAATGAATATTCAGGAAAACATTTAAAAAGCCCAATAAAATAATCTTTGATAGGAGAATTAAATGCAGGTTCAAAGTTAGATGCTGTATATAAACAAAAACATTGCTAGGGTGAGGTTATTTTATAATGGCTCCCTACTTCAAAGAGTGCACAAACAAGAATAAATACAAGGTACTAAAAAGGGAAAAATCAAAAGACGGGTACCAAAATACTTTTTACCATTTTTTTTTTTATTACATGCGACAATACAAAGCAGCGATACAACATGACATAAATGTGAACAAGATACTTACACTAGATGGGGTTTACACTCAGTAAGTTTACTACTTTTGAGCTAAGGTGGGGTGAGGTGGTCAACTACTAGTCAGCTACATTCCCCATGGTGTCAGTCGAGATGCAGGTCGCAGCATTTTTCCAAGGGCCATACGGTGCCAAGGGCCCCAATTCATCTTGCTTTATTTGCTTGCTAAGTGGAAGGTTTTATCTAAAAGCCTACAACATGAAAGCTGATTGTCTATGTATATTTATATCCATTCAAAAAGACCTTTCTTCTCAATCTGAAAATGACATTTACACTAAAATATAAAATCTTGAACACAGACTTCTTCACTTAGATTTTCTTTTTTTTTTACGATTTCCATAAATGCCTTTACTTTTGGCCTTTTATGTTTTTAGGCTGCATCAAGGCCGACTTTATTGTTTCTGACTGACAATGGACTCAAAGGACAACATTGTTATGTCTGCTTAAATATTAACTGAATGATGTGAATTTCTGTGGCTCAACTGCAAATGATAGAAATTTCTGTCAGATTTAATGAGTTAAAAGGAAGAGAGAATTGAATTTAAATGACATTTTACACACCTTGAGAGATGAGGCAAGAACCGAATTGTATACACAAAGTTCATTCAATAGGAAGGAATAATAACAAGCATATTCCTAACTACTCTAATTTTGCTGCCAGATGTAGTTTATCATGTATGATGATAACTACATCTGGCAGCAAGATCTGTGATCAGGAGATTGGAGGTTTTGAGGAACATGGAAACACCTTAACTGCTGTTGTTCCCTGATCCACACTGACCTGGGGTTGTAGCACTTGTTAAGGTCCCAGCTATGGGCAAATAGTGACTTCCCCCAAACAAAAATCAACAGTACATTTTTATAATAAAATGATCAACAATACATTTTTATAGTAAAATGGCAATCAATGCAACACTTAAAATATAAAAAATACACTTTTATAATGAATTTGTACAATTTATCACCCACAAACTATATATTTAAAAAAACATACCTTTATTCTAGAAGTATAAAATCATGTACAAAATATCTGTAGTTGAAAATATTAAATATCCCATAAGCCATTAAACAAAATCAACCTAACTACTCTCAGTCATATAAAATTTCTATTTAATTTGTATATACTGAAAATGAATAATATAAGTATAACCCCATTAGTATTTGCTTCTTTCCTTTCTGCCTTTTTACTTAAATTTTTTTTTTTTTTAATAGAAGCAACTTGGGATTTTGACCATTATTCAGGCTGCTTAATTGGGCAAAAATTAGTACTTAATTTTTTTTTTTTTTTAACCATTTAACCCTAAGCAAAGCAATAAAGACACTAAAACAGAAAGAGTTACTGAGTGTTAGAGAATATGAGAAAAAAAACAAAGCACTATTAAAGTGAGAAGAATAAAAGAACAGGAATTAAGAAGACAGATTACAATTTACATTGCATTTAAATTTTTGAAGATCAAAATTGACTGGGAAGCAAGAAGCTGGAAAAGTTCCACACACAAGAAGTGTGATAGAAGAAACTGTTAGCATAGAACATATGCTATTACATAGCCATTTCAACTGTAAATTGATAAGATCTTGCAACCAATCTAGTACTAAATTCATGAAGTCTAGGTACCATAGAAGAAAGTTCAATTACCATGAAAGTATTTAAAGACAAGACACAGAAAAGCTACATTATGAATTTTTTATGTATAAAGCTAATAAATAGGTAAGAAAGAAATTTCAGTGTAACTAGATGAATTGGTAAAATTCCTGAATACAGTACAAATTAAATTATTTAGTAACTCTTTTCCTTAATTTTACATTTCTTTGGTTTTTTCTTGGTTGGTTAAACCAGACAGTAGTGGTATTGTTTAAGATTTAATTGAGTTTGAATAGTAATTGTTTAAAAAGAATGTGTATATGTCATCATTCTGGATAAGATGACAAAAGAAAGTAATCATGTAAGCAATTCATTTTCTTTATCTCTTTATCCCATGGCAATGTTTGTGAATTTTAAATCCAGCCTATCATCTTGAGAGTGAAATATAGAACAATGTCTAATATAAAAAGTTGTTTTTGCTTTTAAATTAGAAAAAAATAGTTAAATGAAAAAGTGAAAATGACAAATTAAAAGATGGCTTGAAAAGATAAAGTTGTTTAATTTTCGTTTCAATGATGCAGAGGTAACATAATGTTTATGTACACAGAACGGGGAATTGGCCAATCAACTTCAAATTTTGGTCTAATCTGTTGCATTCATTTCCATACTAATACCCTTGGGTAAGCCATCAGTCCATCTTCTTCCCATTCCAGTTATAAGTGCAATAACAGGGCAGACTGGACTAGTCTTGGCTAGCACCCAGTCTGAGGAGGACAACTCTGAATTCAAAACCATAGGTAAGGCAAAAAGGAAAGCATTCCATTATCATTTCTAAGAATTCATAAATAATAAAAGCAATCTGTGGAGAGCCATGATTACCTACATCTTTAAGGGACATTGCATATAAAATTATTTCAAAGAATGAATTAATCCCACAATTTCTTTTATAAGTGCAGTTTGGGTTAAACCATTTATCTTTTTAACCTTATTTGATGAATTATTTGAGATATATTCTTTGGACTCCAGAAAATTAAGTAATTTATTTTGGAGATGATGACAAAAAGTTCATTTACTGATGAAAAGCTTCAGTATGAGAATTTTACATATCCTCATTCAGTTAACTCCCTTGCATGTACTGTTGCTTTATGTCAGAGCGTCTTTTCCCCAGAATTCATCTTGGCTTAGTTTAAGTGATTTCCACTGTAATCTTGCAATTCATTGAACATGGTTGGATAATGAAGATAAGCAATGATAATGGAAATTTGATGGTCAGTAAGCAAGGACTGTTTAATGAACGTGTCCATCCTTTTGTCACCTTGTACGGATTTGAAGACAAGAAAGATATATATCCTTCCCAGAATCAATGCAGAGTAGATGGTTATAAGTAGAAGTTAAATTTGAAGATTGCTGTTACATTACAAAGTGATTGGAATCCCAGACAGTGAATTTCAGAGGAGATTGATTGCCCTGTGCTCAGCATGACAGCCGAAAATGAGTTGGCATCGTTTCAACTGCAAGGGTAAGATACGATAATTAAGGGAGATGGAACAGCCCTTCTGGTAAACAGCCATTCCGATGGCATGATGAATTGCTTTTATTCTTACAAGCAGTTGTTCTGACTTTAGGAAAAGTCTGAATTCTTTTACAGTACTCAAAAATAGAATTCAATAAACTGGCTTTTGACAAATGATAAATCAAGTAAATAAGAGTAGACACTTATCTTTGTGTCTTAGTGGCATTATTGCCTTGCTTGGGGTGAATTAATGAAATAAAAAAAATAAAAAAGTCCTATATTTCCAGGAAAACATGTACATATATGTATATGAATTTTCAACATTTAAATATGATTGATCCATAATGAAAACTGAGTGATCAATTATTAGAGATGTAACATGAGCTTGAAGAAGGTTGAAGAGTATGTCAGCCAAAAGATAGTAAGAAGAGCAACAAAGATAAAGGTATCGAGTCAAATAAATTATCAAGTTATTGTGGCACACATTCATATAAAAACCTATCAACATTCTCTTATTAACAAGAAAAAAATTACAGAAATTTCTGTCTGCATTTCTGGGGTGATGAGTTATTATTTACATAATTTATCTGAAGTGTTTTAACAGAGAACAAAAAATCTTGCACTGAAATCTGAAAGCAAATTGGGATAGCAAAAGATGCCTTCCAATGAGCAAAGCAAATTATTAAGAAACAAGAAAAATTTTGTTTGAAACAAAGAAAAGAGTATTGAATTGTTATGTAATATTAGTCCTCCTATATGGCAGAGAATTCTGGACAAATAGTGAAGACTTGAAGCAACAAAAATGTAGTTTTACATAAAGATGCTGAGAATAACATGGACCAAACATATGAATAATGAAGTTTTAGACAAAACGGAAACACAAAGGACACATACTTAACATCAGCAAGAGATAGTTGAAATTCCTAGAGAACATAATGAAGAAAGAAGGCTTGGAAAATTTGATACTCACAGGATAGATTGAAGGCAAGAGGAGCAGAGGAAAACAATGTTTAACTTACCTAGCAAGCTAAAAAAAAAAAAAAAAAAAAAAAATAATCATCATTCTCTTTGCTTGACACTAGGATGGCCAAGGTATCGTTTTCGACACTTTCAAATTTTCAACAAATTACTATGGAATAACTAGTTTTGGTTCGATGCTGAGGCTTATGGACAATTATTGAATTTTAGCAAAGATGCTTAACAGAGTTAATTCTTTAAAAAAAATATTCAGTGGAATAGCTGATATTTGAGGTTTTACCTTGAATGGCTGAGGTGTCGTTTTTGACACCTAGGCTATTTATAAGGTAAATGCATTGAAAAATTTCTCACAAGCAATAATACTGGTGTTTATGTCCCCTATATATCTATCTATACACACACATAATTTTTTATATATATATATATATATATATATATATATATATATATATATATATACAATCACTTTCTTTCAGTATGAGGTATACTAATATTTGTGAATTTCTTTTCAGACTTGTTATTCCTGACTTGAATATTGAATATATTAGAGATGGCTGCTTCATGGCGTAATGTAAATAAAGATG